GTTAGAGGGCACAGAATGAAGAAATGAATATGATATCTAGTATGTCAGGCAGTGATGTAAACTATTGTGGGGGATAAAGCAGGACTGAGGGCTAGAACAGGGATCACTACTGGTTAGGTGGGAGAGTTATTATTTCAAATAGGGTGTGAAGGAACACCTCAGTGATAGATGAAAAGTAGAAACCAAAAGGTGAGAGAGTCAGCCGTGGTGATATTGCAGGGGATAGTACCTGCAATGTATTAGCGTGCAATGAGTTGACGACCAGTAAGCAAGGGAGCCGGTGGAAGTGAGCAGATTTTTGAAGATGACAGGGACTATGTCATGCAGAGCCTCCTGATCACTGTAAAAATGAAGATTTTACTCTGAATGAGTTAGAAACAATGGAGGATCTCCCCACAGGAGATAGCATAAGAACTATTTTTAAAATTAGTATACAAAGTAATTTACATCCATATTGAGTTTTCATAAATACTTCATACATGAAAGAATGTTTGTGAATATATATTCTATTATAATACACTATATATATGTACACATAGTATATGTTATATATATATATATAAAATGTACTATATGTGATGTACACATGAGATTATATTTTAAAGGCTTTTTCTAGCTGTCCTAGGGAAAAAAAATGGTGTGGGACAAAGGGCAGAGCAAGGAGACCAGTTAGCCTACTTGTAGCGACACTGAGAATGATACTGGCTAGATAAGCATGATAGCAGTGGTGATTATCAGGCTCCAGGTGTGATTTAAAGGTAGACTGGACTGAGGGTACTAGCCGCTTCATTTTGGGATATGATTTCAAGAGAAACTTAAAACACAGCTTAAAGTTGTTAGAGCTTGAACTTCAAAATGTTTGCAGCTGCCACAAAATAACAGGCTGGAGGCTGGAGAGGTGCCTCACTGGTTAATAGTGCTTACTGTTCTTGCAGAGTGCCTTGCTTTCCATCCCAACATCCACATGGGAAGGTTCATAACTGCCCCAAACTCCAATTCTAGGGGATCCAATGCCCTCTTCTGTCCTCTGAGAGCATTTTTTTGGAATGTGGTGCACATAAACTCACATAGGGACACAAATATATACATAAATAACATAAATAAATACATTTAAATTTTTAATTATACTTTTATTGTATGTGGATGAGGTTTTTGTTTTTGGTTCTTTTTTTTTGGCCGGGATGTATACCACATCCATGTCTGGCAAGAGGAGGGTGTTGGATCCCTGGAGCTTGAGTTACAGACAGTTGTGAGCCACCTTATGGGTGCTGGGAATTGAACCTGGGTCCTCTGGAAAAGCATCTCTCCAGCACTCAGAAATGAATATATTTTTAAAATAAAAGTTTAAATGAAGAGGAAATTTTCAGAAGGCATAATATTGTGAAGGGGGGATATGGAGAGGTGAGTTTTCTGTAAGACAGGTTTGAGAATCCTATTAGTCATGAAGATAAAGACCTTGACTAGATTGCTGTCTGCAATCCAAGGAAAATATTTAGAAAGAATATGTAAATTTGGGAGTCATTATCAAATAACTGGAAATTTAAAACATGAACCAGAATTAGATCATAGATACTTTATAAGTATTTAAACAGTAACAAGAAAATGTACACTATTTTCTTCAATAACAAATGACTTGTACATAACAGAAAAAAGCAAACCTTCAGCTTGGCTGCAGCACACTCAAGGACCCCTTTTCAAAAGTTAGCCTCTGAACACAGGGCTTCTTCTCCAAGGAGGCAACCCTTAGCCTTGCATGGGTCTTGCCTCAGGTACATCGCTCTTTCACCTGAGCTCAGTCTATGGGCAGCTTCACGCAGTGGTCCATTTCTAGCTGCATGGTCTCTGCTCCTCCAAGGCTTAATTTCCACTCTGGCAGTTTCTTGCATTTTAATGTTCCCCTGAGCTATTCTCTAGACACACCAGGCTGTGTGTCTGAACTGCTCCAGTCATCACCAGCTATATTAATTTTTAAATTTTGTTACTGCTTTGCTTATAAAGTCATATAAGTTTTGAGTGTTCTGCTGCAGCTCTATTTTTTTTCTTCTAAGCCTGCTTAGCTTTCATGTGTGCTTCTTGTGATTTTACTGTGTAATAATAGATTGTTAGGGTAGGGTATATCATTTCATATCACAAATATTTGTATATATGCAGTAGACATGTTGCATTTGTCCACATATTTTGGACATCTTAACCTTTAAGAATTATGCCTATCTTATAGGGTGCCAGGTACATAAATCCTTCTCTACTTCTAGAAACACTGACAAATTAACAAATAGGGATGAGCACATGCTCATCATCTTAGAATAAACTACTTGCTTGCCCATTATCCAAGCTAGTCAAATCAAAACACACTCCCTGACTGTCAAACATAGCCTGAGACAACCAGAACTAACATCTGTCTGTCTATCATTACCCACAATAGCCAATCAAAGTATAGTGCATGACTTTCTACCATGACCCAAGTTACAGTACCTGCCTATTCAGTGTGCCTTAAACTAGCAACCATAATATATGTGCTTCTTCATCATGACCCAAGCTAGCCAGTCACAGTACACTACTTGCCTGTCTTACATATCTCAAGCTAACCAATGGAAACATATTACCAAACTGACCAACCTAACCATAGCTAGTCAATCAGAGCATACTATTTGCCTGTCAGTTGATTGAAGCTAGCCAATCAGGAGTACTTTTAAGTTTTATTTTCTGTATGCAAATATTTTGTCACCACATATATCTGTGTAATGCATGAGTGCCTGGTGCCCATGGAAGTCAGAAGAAGGTATCCTATCCCCTGGAACTGGAGTTATGGATGATTGTGAACCACTATCATGTGGATGCTGGGAATTGAACCTGGGTCCTCTATAAGAAGTGTTCCTATCCAATGAGCCATCTCTTCAGCCCCCATAGTGGTATTCTTAATGGTCAGGACCTCGCCTTATTCATGTTGATATTCCTAGGACTAATCATAGTGCCTAGGTCACAGAAGCTACATAGTAAATATGAATTAATGAATAGGTGATTCTGGTAATATTAATACATTTGCCTGATCATTGGATAAGAGGATATATTGTCTTGCATACATATATGCAACTTGTTGAAGAATGTAGTATTTTTGACAGGTACGGGTTTTTTATTGAAGCTGGAAACAAAACAAAAAAATAACAAAGCATTGCATGCTAGTTAGTTTTCTGTTATTGTAAAAAAATATTTGTGGTAATCAACTTATAAAGTGAAAAGGTTTATTTTGGCTTAGACTTTTAGAGGCTCTGTTCCATGATTGATTGGCCCCATGGTAAGATAGAAGTATACCATAAAGCAAAATTGTTCAGCTCATGGTTGAAAAGTAATTTAAAAAGAGAGAAGCAGGGTCTCAGTACCTTAATCTGATTACACATCCCTAATGGCTTTAAATTCTCTCACTAGGCCAAACCTTCTAGTAGCACCAGGAGCTAGGGATAAATCCTTCAACACATGAGCCTTTGGAGGACATCCAAGATCCAAACTATAGCAAATTCATTGGGATAAAAAATGGAAAATAAGGTAAGAAGACAACATATGCAGTAGGGAAGCATTAGAAAGGAAAGGAAAGTGGGGGGAACCCCAGTACTTTATGGAATTAAGGAGAAGAGCTAGAGAACTCGAGGGATGCCAGTATTCAGTAAAGTAGATATGGAAGAAAAGTCAAAGACTGTAAAAGATGAAAAATAGATAAAAGCGAGAAGCAGACATAGGAAGGAAGGACCTGGATGGTAACTTTGCTGTCTGAGTACAGCTTTGGTTTTTAACTGTATGTTAGGCCATCTGCAGGGTTATTGGGAAGTAGAAATGGAAAAAAAAACCCTCCTCCTAGCTTTTACACATCCTGTTATTAGAAAAATCTCTGTTTATAATGGTGATGGGAAAGTGTGGGATGATAAGAGGGGATGTGTATTGGGGAAGATAGCCTACTGTTCTGAGTAGGCAAACTCTCCCTTGCTTTACCGGAGGTGGAGAAGTTGTGGCAGTCTTACTGAGAAAGTGCTCTCTCTTTTCTTCCCATTCTTGTTTCATTTTCTATGAACTCTGACTTCTCCCTCTTTCAAAGTTAACGTAACTCATTTCTATATTCTCTTTGTCCTAGTATATATATATATATATTTTAAATGAAAAGGCAGGCCAGATGTGGTGGTGCATACCTTTAATCCCGGCACTTGGGAGGCAGAGGCAGATGCAGGAATAGCTATGAGTTCTAGGCCAACCTAACCTACACTGGGATTCCAGGCCAGCCAAGGCTACAAAAAAAAAGTTAAGATGGTGGTACTAATCCCCCCACCCCCTGGAATTAGCATTCACCCCCTCAGTCTCCTGAGTGCTTGGATTGCAGACATGTGCTCCCTCCTCCGGTTTGGTCTCAGTTTTGGTATAATGCAGACAGGACTGTCATTTCATCATCCTTTCCCCAGCAGAACAAGAGACTGTTAACAAGGAAACACCGCGTCCCAGGGTGGAATCTAGAGCCTTGTTTGATGGCGGTAATACCGATTGTTTGAGCTCATTCCACGCTAGGGCATCCTAATGGTGCCAAGGAAGCACCAGCCCCAAAGCCAGTTTGGGCAGAGCTTCGCTGCTCTTCTTACTGAGGGTCTAATGAAGAGGGTGTCCCTTGCTACATCATGAGTTCACCATTCCTCCAGACTAGTTTTCCAGGACCCTGTGGCACCCTCAAGGGGAGAATATCAAAAGGGGGTCTCAGGAGACAGGAGTAACTAGTGTGTGGCCAATGATGGGCAGTAGGGGACCTCAGGAATAGTTACTAGTGTAGAAGAGATGGTACCTTGGCCATATCCAACTGAGAGGCCAGGTAAGGAGTGAATCCCTGGTAGATCCGGCAAGCTGGAGGAGCCAGCCACACCTTCTCTAGGCTGGATGGGTTCTGGTGCTACCACAAGGGGGAGAATGAGGATGGGGTGGTGGACCTCTGTGAGAGTTTGGTTGGTCCTGAAGGTCTTGGCAATACCGAGCCCAGATGGCATGTGGAAGATGTGTAGGGTTTGCATAGACAGCGGGAGGACAGCAGGGACCTGGAGAGGCTAGGGCCAAGAGATGAAGGAGCCTTGTGACAGGAGCGCGGATGTGTGCTGGGGTGGGCTGTGCCTGCCTGGATTGTGGCGCCGCCGCCTGGTGGAGCCTGGCACTGAGCCTGTGGGTAGGGGCGGCTGGAGACCGCCTCTCTGCGCGGTCCCTCTACCTGCTGGGGGCGGGGAGGAAGAAAGGCGGGCACCAAGCGATAGGGTGAGTCACTCCTCTCCCTAGGGTTAGGAGAGGGACTTCTCTCCCTTCCCGGGGTCTGCGCTTTGGCTCCAGGCTCCGGGCTCCAGTTCCGCGACTCCCTCGGCTACTCTCCCGGGCGGCGCGACTCCTGCCTCCCTTCTGAGGCTGCTCCAGTCGCCTTTCTATATAGGTGAGGACTAGGTAAGTTCTCGCCATTTGATACCCTCTGTTAGGGTGCTGGTTGCGGGGGATGGGGGAGGGTCTTCCAGTCTGTGTCTCTGTCTTCTTCCCTTGCTTCCTTCCTTCCTCTGGTTCTTTCCATTGTAGATAGAAAGTTAGATTTTTTAAAACGCGTCAGAGAATATTAAATCTGTGCTTAGACTCCCAGCCAAACCAAACTCTGGAGCCATATTCTTAATCTCCCGGGTACCTTCAAATGTCCTGATGCGACGTTTATGGGACAAGGTATGTTTGATTTGTCTTTGCTTACTCACCCCCCCCGCCCACCTCTTTTTGTTCCTGGATAATTTTTAGAGGTGGGGACAGGAGAACTGAGCTGGGATCCTTTGCCGGGCGCTTTCTTCATTCAGTAAGGTGGCTGGGTGTTTCTTGTAGCCTGAGTTGGGATCTTGGAAGAACCATTCTAACCCAGGACACAGCAGAGCTGGCAAAGAACTGCAGTTATTGCATACCTATAAAGTGACCACGGACAGAATCAAAATATTTTGGAGGCACAATCTGTGCCAATGTTGAGGGAATTCATTGAAAGACGCCATGGAATATTCTCGGAAAAAAAATTGGAGGTTATTGTTGCTTTTGTATTGTCTGTTTTCAGAGATGCTTCAAAGCCTCTTATTTCCCTTGCAGGAAAATCAATGAGAACCTATTCTGAGTCTCAGAAGGATTTACCTGTACAAAGCTACATGTTAGTTCGTCCTCTATCGGTGTAGGGAGTGCCAAAACTCATTGCTTTCAGTAAAATCAGTTTGGGGAGGGGTGTTTCTCCTTTCACTACCATTAAGCAGCAAAATGTTTCTGTGACTGTTAAACAGACACTAATTATTGCTGTCGTTTTTTGCATAGAAGTGCCAGGGAGAGTATGCTGAAATGCATGAATCTGTGGCTTATGCTGACAACTAGTTGTCAGTATTATTCAGTGTGATGTGATGTTAACAGGTGGTCTTAATTCATATCACAAAATGATTCTGTTCTAGACAACTTACCTGATGGTACAGTACCAAAGTACTCCTAAAATCTGGTATTGCCTTTTATCTTTTGGGGGAGAAATATAGGTGAAGGAATGTTTTCTGGCAGTTTATTAGCCCCTGATCATAGATTACTGGTTTTGGAATTGTCCTGTGGATTGCAATCTGTGGCCATATAAACAAACCCCTCTTGTTCTTCTTAGAAGAAAATTAGTGAAACTTTAGATGGTTAGTCAGGTCACAGGGAGTCATTGATAATCCTCTTTCAAGGACCTCCAGTAAGCTCGTCAAAATAAGTTATATTTCTCACTTCCCTAATAACCTAGCTCTTCCTGCCTCTATCATGAGTCTTATTCATATTTTTATCACTGGAACTTAGTAAAGTAGAGGTATGTTGGAAATATGAGTGAATGATTAAATAATTTTGCAGTTCAGATTTCTCAAATTCTACATGGGCAAGCTTCCTCTTCGCTCCTAGAATATAATAATATAATCCATGTAATTCAATGGTTTTCGTAAAGTGTAGATCATCAGATTATACTATTTTGTAAATAAATAAGAATATAAATATATACAAGTGTGTGCATTTCGCACACATACACATATTTATTTGAAGAGTGACTTTAGCAGTAGAGAAGTCTGACAGCAGGTGAAAACAATGGGACAGCTATGTCAATACCTTATCTTTAGGATTTCAAAATGGCTCCAGCCGCTTCAGATACGATGACCCTATGCCTCATCCAAGGACAAGAAACCAAGGGTAGAAAAGGGGAGAGTGTATGCCTTTGTGTAACTTCCTCTTTTCCTAACAAACGCTCCTTTTGTCTCGTTGGCAGGAACTGGGTCATATAAACTGCTCTTAATGGCAAGAGTGGCTGGGGAAATATCAAGACTTTTAGCTTCTATAATGAAAGGCTTATTGGGAGAGGTGCTGTTGATGACTTTGGAGAGTTAACTAGAAGGTCTGCTTGGAATACTATGAAAATGTTTGAAGTTGTGATTGTGTCATTGGTTGGGCCAAGTAAAATAAAATATTACTCAAGGTAGCAAACTCACATTTGGAAAGGGTTCCCCCGCCCCAAATTGTGTCCTATTTTAGTTATGTCTATGGAACCTTCATGTGTTGAACACTAATCCCTATCATGAGATTTTAAGAGGGTGGAAACTTAATCTGACTGTGATTATTTATAAGTAAGACCTTTGGGAAGAGATTAGGATTGGCTATGGTAATCAGGGTAGAGCTTTCATCACTGAATACTGGTGGCTTCTTCATAAGAAGAGGGAGGAGGCCAGAGAATGCTTATGTGCGTGCATTCTCTGTCAATTACTTTGTGAAAACCTGCACTATCTCAGGACTCTGCCAGCAAGATCACCACCAGTGTTGGGTCTATGAACATCAAGGACCCTGAACTAAATAACACACACACACACACACACACACACACACACACACACACACACACGGCCAAAAATGGACTAATACATCAACATTCAGAAAATACATTGTATATATTAATATTCACATATAAATCTTACATGGCCTCCATTAATATTAAATATAAATCAGATCCTCCAGTTCTTGAAACACAGCAAACTTTTAATAATTAGTCCTTTGACTAGATTGTTGGGTTTGAGAGCTACAGGGATAAGGAAAAAGTGGAAAAGCTTTAGCACTTAAATGCTGTGGGATGTTCTGTATGGCAAATGTGTTGCTGATTAGTCAATAAATAAAACACTGATTGGCCAGTGGCCAGGCAGGAAGTGTAGGTGGGACAAGGAGGAGAATAAAGCTGGGAAGTGGAAGGCTGAGTCAGAGAGACACTGCCAGCCGCCATGATGACAAAGAGCAGGTGAAGATGCTGTTAAGCCACGAGCCATGTGGCAAGGTATAGATTTATAGAAATGGATTAATTTAAGCTATAAGAACAGTTAGCAAGAAGCCTGCCACGGCCATACGGTTTGTAAGCAATATAAGTCTCTGTGTTTATTTGGTCAGGTCTGAGCAGCTGTGGGACTAGTGGGTGATAGAGATTTGTCCTGACTGTGGGCCAGAAAGGAAAACTTTAGCTACACTTAAATGCTGTTTAGAACTGTGGTACCAGATAGATCCCTGGTGTGAGGATTTATAGAATCCAAGTCTTTCATTTGGATCCTAGGAACCTTGAAGGCATCTTAATGGGAGGAACAATGAAAACCTAGCAAAAATAAGTGCTGACAACTTAGGTCAACAGATTTTCTTGAGGGGGGACTTCTCTATGCCTGTACTGTGGAGGATGTCCTACCGAAGTGGGGGGCAATAACAAAATAAAAGGCCAAATAACTTAAAATGTTGATGTGTGAAGAGAACATTACCACAAACTTGCCAGCTGTTAGTTTGACTTCCTCTTAGTAGGAGTCCTCAATGTACAGAAGGTCCACTTTTGAGAACATAACAGCGGGAGACTGGATAAGCAAGGGTCAGAGACTGGAATTTTAGATTTTAGATTTTAGCGCTCTGAGTCTTGGAAGGGTTGCCTGATAAGCCCGGTGTAGATATCAACAACTTTCAAACACTGTGCACAGTAACAATTCCCAGGGAGCTTTCTCAAACCCAGATTCATGGGTTAATCCTTAGATCACTTATGTTGGAAACTTTGGGAATGGGAACCAAACATTATTAGTGTTTTTAAAAACACCTTCTAAAATTGCCAGTACCTACTTGAGTTTGGAGACTCTTAATTTTCTGGAACTGCCACACTACATGCCACAAAGGAAATGTGGCAAAGAAAATAAATTTGTTTTCCCGGAGTCCTGGAGATTAAAAGTCTAAGATCAAAGCACCAGTGGGGTTTCCTACTTGTGAAGCCGATGGCTTTGATTTGGATGCAGCTGCCCTCTTGTTGTGTTAGTCCATAGCCTTTCCTTGGTGCAAATCTGTGCTGCGACATCCACTTTCTAAGGACATAAATCACAGCAGGTTTACTCTAAACACCTTATTTTCACGTGATCACATCTTTAAAGGACCTGTTTCCAAATATAGGCATATTCTCAGATCTTGCCTGTTAGAACTTAAGCATAACAACATGAAGAGGGCCACAATTCAGCCCATAACAGAAAGTGGGGTACAGCATGGCAGTTCTTACATTTGAATGTGCACATGAGTTACCGAGAAATTTTATTAAAATGCAGGGGCCACTTCTTTTTTTTTTTGGTTTTTTGAGACAGGGTTTCTCTGTGTAGCTTTGCGCCTTTCCTGGAACTCACTTGGTAGCCCAGGCTGGCCTCAAACTCACAAAGATCCACCTGCCTCTGCCTCCCGAGTGCTGGGATTAAAGGCGTGCGCCACCACTGCCCGGCGAGGGGCCACTTCTTTTTTTTTTTTTTATTTTGCAATACAATTCAGTTCTACATATCAGCCACGGATTCCCTTGTTCTCCCCCCTCCTGTCCCCCTCACCTTCCCCCCAGCTCCCCCCCCCATTCCCATCTCCTCCAGGGCAAAGCCTTCCCCACAGACTGAGATCAACCTGGTAGACTCAGTCCAGGTAGGTCCAGTCCCCTCCTCCCAGGCCGAGCCAAGCAATCCTGCATAGGCCCCAGGTTTCAAACAGCCAACTCATGCAATGAGCACAGGACCCGGTCCCACTGCCTGGATGCCTCCCAAACAGATCAAGCCAATCAACTGTCTCACCCATTCAGAGGGCCTGATCCAGTGGGGACCCCTCAGCCATTGGTTCATAGTTCATGTGTTTCCATTCATTTGGCTATTTGTCCCTGTGCTTTATCCAACTTTGGTCTCAACAATTCTTGCTCATATAAACCCTCCTCATTCTCGCTAATTGGACTCCCAGAGATCCACCCAGGGCCTAGTCATGGATCTCTGCATCCAGATCCCTCAGTAGTTGGATGAGGTTTCTAGCACGACAATTAGGGTGTTTGGCCATCCCATCACCAGAGTAGGTCAGTTCGGGCTGTCTCTCGACCATTGCCAGCAGTCTGTTGTGTGGGTATCTTTGTG